GTAAGCACAAAGTCTCTGGTTCAAATTGATTATCTATGACGGTATTTCGTCCTCCTGACTCAGTGCAGAAAATGAATAGAGCTTAAATAAACAAACTAACTTCGATTGCGCAGAAAAAAAGCGAGCCTAAAACAAAATACGTTTTATTCTTGATTCAGTTTGAAAAATTCCATGAAAAGCTTTCATTTTTTTTTTAAAGTGTGGGGGGAGTACCCGGACGTCTATATACAAATCGAGAAACCGGTTAAAACAAAATGGTTTAAATGGTTTCAGTATCAACTACTGTAATGGGATTTTATTTCCTGTTCAACTGAGAGAGAAAAAAAAAAGCCTTGTGTTTTTAGGTGCCTAATAGAAGTGGAGAACGTTTATTTTTATTACGTCGTTTTTCCTCCGAACTTAGTAAAACCGATCCGTATATTTTAACTCGTTAAATTATTTCGCATTTATTGCATATTGGAACAATTCCCATCCACCTCTTTATTACCCACCACCCCGGTATACAACACCTAAGACTATTCGAACATGTAGCTCAGGAATTAATGGACTTAATTTTTAACCAGATATCATTTCCATTTCTCTTTACTCTAAACCAATGATTCCCAACGTGAGGCACATGCCCCACCAGTGGTGCATGGTAATATTTTGATGTGGGCATGCATAGGATGTGTACCCTTCGGCTTACTATACCAACAGAATAAGGGGGCAATTCGAGAATGAGTTATTAAAAGTGAATTGTTTTCTCGTGAGCTCAAATTTCATTTTGAATTATTTCATGATTAAAATGATCAAAGTATTTTACAGAATAAAGCTTTCATTCAAATATTTTATATTTCTGCCTTTTAATTCTCTATTATATCTTTTGAAACTATATATATTTAACTGTCTTTTGGGGGTTTTTTATTTACTTTTTCTCTTTCATGGACGCCATATTCTTTGGAGTCTTGTTTAGAGACCAAGTTAATGGCCTTTTAAACATTCTTCACGTGAATTGCAGTAAAGTTTTGGATATCTAAGAATTAAATATTACAAGGGGGTCTAGCAGAATTTTAGAAATACCAAAGTGGGGCATGGCCCTAAAATCGGTTTGGAACCACTGGTCTAAAAGTTATCTTAGCGGATACTCATGTTTGAGTAGACGCCCTGTTTTCTTTTAACATTGGGAATTACGTCTACCGGCCTACGCATTTGACATTTGAGAAACTTAATAAAAAAAAAATATGTGCTCTCCGATAGGAGTTCGGACTTGCGTCTCTCTTTATAGATGAAGTGTTTTTTTTACAAGGGCAGTTATGCGGGGGGGGGGGTTGTAATTCAAACTCCATCTGGAAAGGCTTAATAAAGTAAAAGTCCTCTGGAATTTGAAACGGCGCACCCCCCCCACACACACACTTTTTTTTTTCAAACGGTGTGAATTACATTCCAATGCGCAGACCGGTAGACCTAATACACAGTTTAAAAGACAAACACAAATATAGAGCGACTACTCTTATATACCAATCTCATCTTCTGAAGAGGGGGCAGATCTCTCCCTAGATAGAACATTGTAACAGGTAATTGATTATAGACACAAATATAAACGACCTATATTTGCATATTTGATGGTTAGCGGCTCGGAATGTGAATTCAGCGAGCCGTGTTCGAATTCCGGTTGAGATCTTTACCTTCACTTTCGCACAAATAAGGTATGAATCCATATCTTCTCCCCCGCTCCAAATATGGGTTAAAAGCAGTATAGACTCCGTTGTCTAGCTGCGGTTTGAGACCAGTAGAATAGAAGAAGAATTCTGAATTGTAAAACCCTAAGTGGTGGTGCCGGGACAAATACTTAAACTGCAACTATGGTCCTCACAGCATAGCTGCAGTATAAAACACAGGTTGGCATTGTAGGTGTTGAAGAAGCCCTAATTAGCCTGAGCAGAAGGGCATGCTCAAAAACGGGAAACCGTAGGGAAGATAAGAATTTACGGTGATTTGAGATGTGCCTTCAACTTAAAACATCTCTGATGATGATTTACCTATTCACAAACCAACCAAATAGATTCAAGTACAAAAAAAACAATATTTATATATAGTCGAACCAAGTAAATACTTACAGATATAGATCAATATTAACCTATAACACATTAATCGATTTTTTATTTATAACTTATCAACCCTTTATGGGTTATTCAAAGTCGAAACATATTTTCGATTTTAAGAATAATTTCTTCTTTTCTTTTTTACGGCTTATCAGCCCTTTCTGAGTTATTTAAAGCCGAAACATATTTCCGATCTTAAGAATAATTTCTTCTTTTTTATGGTTTATCAACCCTTACTAGGTTATTTAAAGTCGAAACATATTTGGGGTTGTAAAAATAATTCTTTTTTGCGCGTTAATATTGCATTAACAATACAGGTCTTACTTTTTAACTCATAGCTGTGGAGAAAAGAGGTAGATTCATCTCTTTCCAAAAGGTATTTGAACATAAGATCTTCTGGTACATATTCCTCCCCTGTCTTTTGAATAGAAGTAGAGGTTTATCCCCTGTTTCCTGTTTAGGATTGGGTTTCGGGCTCCTTCTAATGTCTGCTTTAACTTTATACACTTAACGCTTGTTCTTTCCTATATATATATATATGATATATGGCCACACAGTCTGCCTCTACCTTGAGCGGCTCTTGGGCTTTGGATTGGAAGAAAATTAGTAAAAATGATAAAACAAGTGAATGCAACGAACTTGACTGCAATTCGAAATCGACACTCCGATTTCTTATCCCGAGCCCCTACCGATTACACCACCCGCACACCCACACCTATCATCGGATCAAGTAAATGCTTACAGACGCAATATATATTATAATAAAAAAATAACCTATTTTGCCATTAAATAACCCAACAGAGGTTGACGTACCATAAAATTAACAAACTAAAGCCAAACTATATTTAACTAAGCTTAATTTTTTCTTTTCTTTTTTTTTATAGTGGTATTCACCCTGTACAAGCCCCGAGGGCCACTCGAGATAGAGGGTTACTAAGTAAACTGCAACTGTAAGAAGTTACCTGTGGGTGGACCTTATATCTCACCCGTGGAATACGAAAGGAATAAGGGTGGTTTGCTGTAATGTGTGTGGTAGCGCTGGTCTAGCCGTGAAGTTTAGGACTGGTGGAACTGAAGAGTGTAATTCATCTGAGCGCCCTGTATTTTAAGCCATTAACTTCACAGTTACTGGCCTGTGCAATCAAATGCCTTATTAAATAAAATATGGCTCTTGCCAAGGATCGAAACCACGTTAGAACATTGCTTCCATTCTTGGGAAAAAAAAAAGACTTTTAATCTAGGTTAGCTTTTAAACGCTCATTCACGATGGACGTCATAGAAAAGGCCAGGCGGATAATGGGCAATGTCATTGTTTAAAACGCACACACACACACACAAAAACAGGGATGTTTGATAAAACGCGTATATCCACAAAATAAAAGTGTTTAGAGGAATTTGTATGTGTGTGTGTGCGTGTGTGTGTGTGCGTGTGTGTGTTAAAAAGCACTTTTAAAGGAATTTGAAATAGATCACTTTTTTCTCTTTCCCCAATTGGAACAGGTAGGTTCGCCTATCGTCCGGTTCACACTCCTTTTCGTACTTTTGAACAGGAGTAGTGGTTTATCCCGTGTTTTCTGTTTAGGGTTGATGTACCGTTTTTTTTCCAACGTCTACTTCCACACTCTTTCTTCTAACGTCTCCGACAGAACCCTGAGAAGTTATTCACTAATTAAATATTGACAACATCAAGTCTCGCGTGGGCCGTCCTTTTTCTTGTATAGCACAAAGAACTTCACATCATCCATTTTTTTCTAACGCTAATACAACACCGAAATATAACGCTCTATCTTGAGTGGATCTTTAACGAAACATATATATGTGATGGAGAGAGAGAGAGAGAGAGAGAGAGAGAGAGAAAGGTTAACAGAAAGTGACGACAATCTGTTTCAGGCTTGAAAGCAATCTTCAGGCTATCGTTTATATTTTATATTTACATACGCTCTGTCTCTGATAGTGAGCACTTTTATTCATATATATACCATACCTTAAAACTATATTTTATCATATATATATATATATATATATATATATATACAGAAAGAGAGGGAGGATTATATATGTATGTGTTTGTGTGCATTACATTTATAATAATGGGCAAGAGAAAGAAACAAAAGAAAAATATATATTAAAAAGTTTAAAACGAAATATCATTACTTTGAATTTCGTTTTTTAAAATTAAGTACTTTTCCATAAAGCTTCCTAACTTCCTTCCACAAGCAACATAAAATAAATAAATAAAATAAAACTTTAAAAATAAGTGCTCCACCTACCACCCGCCATTTTTACTTACAATACGCAGCAAACTTCTAAATGACGAGGGTTTGGAGGCAAGTGGGATACGAGGTGACTTTCAAGAAGAAAGAAGAAAAAAAGCCAAATAAATGAATGGTTTTGCACGTACAGACAAGTTCAAGAAGCCATAAATGTAAATAAATACACTCATTTCCAACTCGCCTAGCTAGTAGTTTCGTGTTTCCCATATGCTTTAGTGGTGTGTGTTCGAACCCAGTTAAATATCAGGCAGACAAGCAATTTATACTAAGAAGGAACTAAACAGAAAGAAAGAACACGAACTTTGCACTCTGGTACGTAGACTTTATGAATTTAAGCGCAGTACTAGATTGACTGTTAGGTCTCATCATTGAACTGGCTAGATGTAACCATAAGTTCTTTGCTAATCGTTATATACTCTCTTCTTGATTCCTCTTGTTCTCTTTCCTTACTAATGTTTTCTTTTTTTTATTCTGTCATCTTCAGTAACCCCTTTCTGTATTAGTGGTTATATTGCCTTGTTTGGGGTGAAATGATTAAAAAAATAAAATGAAAATGACGTAAGTGAATATGAGGAAATCAAATGGAATTGGAACTCCGTTCACTGATTCCAAACAGTTATCCTTTACACCACCTGCACATCCAAGTTTACAGCACCTGGTATTCCCAAGTGGGCACCCATCTAAGTAATGACTAGGCTTAAGGTTGCTTAACTTCGTTAATCGTAAGAGAGCTGGTGTTTCAATGTGATATGGCCGTCAGTACCTCTTCTGCTCCCCACCATGGATTATTTATTACGACTTCTATCAGTAAGGCATTATTATATCCTAAAACTTCTTACAATCTAAACATATTTTATGGCTTTAAATAATTTGAGAAAAGGGGTTGATAAACCGTAAAAATAACAAATCAATCAATCAATATTTCTTTCTTCTTTTAATTCTAAATTTGGTGCCATTAGATGTATATTTGTTCAAATATTTTACTATCCTTTTTGTCCTTCAAGTCTTGGTAACTCAGATATAAAGAAATGTTATTCGTGGAGAACCACGATAGCATAGCAGAGAAATGGTTAACGAGCAAGTCTCCCAAATCATTGTTTTCTAGCGTTTTCAATTCTCAGCGGATGCTCTGTTACTGTTGTTTGGAGTAAGACCAAAAAAATCAGCGTATCATCTGGCTTTCACCTCGGCTCGAACACTGATCTCCGATAGTGATGGAAACGTGTGGACGTAGATATTTCATTTTATTTCGTTTCAAGACAACAACTTAAATTTTTGTAAAGAAATGGTTTCGATGTGCAAGTAACGTAACAGAAAATAGACTGGGCGAAACGGGTTCAACTCTGACCGATATTGTTACGCTCACTCTCTTGCTAATACTCTTGGAAAGGCATGAATCCATCGATTTATTCCATTCCTCGTCTATGGGTAACAAAAGCAGTGTAGACCGCGTCATCTAGCCTTGTATGACAGCCAGTCAATGAAAAGGAAAGCCTGGTGAATTTTAAGTCATCGAAAGATGCATCAATAAAAGAAGTTGAATGGTTAACAAACATGTCCCCCAAATCATTGTTCCATAGTGTGTTAAATTCTCACTGGATGCTTTGTCGCTGTTACCCGGCCCCGAAAGACCCCTTTCTCGCTCCCCTCAGTATAGCTGGTACTAATCTCCATGAGAGCGACTGCTTGCGCCTTCCCTGGCTATCATTCTCGGCTGATATTGCTAAGAAAGTTGCTTCAACGTCTCATGCTAGACAGTTTATATCTCCTGAATCTATCATCCATATCTATAACTCTAAGCCTTGAATATTTCTTCCGAATATAATCTGGTGCTCCTTTTATATATTAAGAGATTCTTCATAAAATCTACAGACGATCCTGCAACATCATTGGTCTTTTTTTATTTAAATCAGTCTTATCAAATCGTAAAATGAAAGTTATCCTAAATGGCCACTGTACTAGATATTTTTGTACTAATGCAGTTATCCCCCTTTATCCTAGGACCTACTGTGTTTCTAATTATCATCAATGACCTTCCTGATGTCATCACAACTCCACTTGATATCTATGCTGATGACAAAACCATTTACTCCTTTCTTGATTGGCAGCTAATCTAAAAAAAAATGACCTACAGTCTGTTGTTAACCGAGGCAAGGAATGACTTGTTAGTTTTAATATCTCCAAAACAAAGCTTCTCTCTATTAATCACCTGAAAGACTCCTTTCTACTTCCCATCAACATAGCTGATACTAACCTCCATCAGAGTGACTGCTTGTGCTTTCTCAGGCTAACATTCTCGGTTGACATGAAGTGGAAAGATTATATTGAATCTATTAGAGTAGATTCACTACTAAGAAAGTTGGTTCACTGTCTTATGCTCGACATTTTATCTCCTTTTCTTTTTCTTTTCTTTTATATATGCATAAGTCTATCATTCATCCATGGATTGGATATTGTTGCCACATATGAACCAGTGCTATTGCCCGTATATTTAAAGAACCAGCAATATTAATGGTCTTGACCTGGTGTATCGGCTTCAGTCACTTTCCCACTGCCACAACGAGCTTTCCCTGTGCCTGTTCTATAAATACTTTCATGACATTTGTTCGGATGAACTCTTCCGTATGGTACCTAAACTTTATTAATTTAAGCGCAGTACTAGATTGGCGGGAAGGTCTCATCAATTCACTGTTAAATTGGCTAGATATAGTTCTATGCTAACAATTCGCTTTCATGTCTCGCTCGTGGAACTGTCTTCCGATTCCATTCTATACAGTTTACTTTGATATTTCAAAATTTCAATGCAATGTCAATTGCTATCTACTGTCTTCCTGATTTTCTCTTTTGTCTTATTCTTTCACACTCAATAATTCCTTCTGTCTTTGTGATTTTACTACCTATCCAAAGGGTGATATTATTAAAAAAAAAAAAAAAAAAAAAAGATTTTGCTTAGTAAAACCTGTTCTTTTATTGTCATTTTTTCCTCACAAACGTCTTCTCATTTTCTTTCACTCTCAGTATCTGATTGCGTCTTAGTGGCATTATCGCCTTACTTGGGGTGAAATGATAAAAAATTATATTTTGCTGATACATTTTTCTTTTCGTTTTTTCTCCTGAAATTATTTTAAACTAGCTTAAATGCTATCGGAAGGCATTTTAGCTAAATCCTACAGAGGACTCTTGGTTAAGCTTTCGGCTGGTTCATGAGTTTGAGAGTCCCTAAGTCTTTGCATATTGTCAGCATTGGAAGCTCTCCTGGCTGCTGTTTGATCTGGGTTTTCATTTGCATGGGATTTTCTTTTCCTTGCTGCAACCTTGCCTCTTTTGATTGCAATCTGCTCTTCTGTTGGCGGAGATTTTTTTTTCAAGGCATACTGCTGCCGTATGGGATTGGCAACAATAAGCTACAGAAGTACTCAAAATTGATCACTGCATTTAAGTAGTGCATTAATATTTAAGCTTACCTTTTAAAAGTTCAACCGTAATTCTTCTGCCACCACTTAAGTTAAAGGCAATTTGATGTACGTAGGTCCTTACTTTGTGTACAAATTATTTTGATTTCATGGGTGACTTTAGCTGGATTACGCAATTATTTTCAATTATTCCCAAATTGATTTCTAAGGTATAAAAATTGTTATCGTAGAAAATTGCGTCACAAAAAATCACGTAAAAACATCGCCGAAAACAATTTCGGTAATGAAAATTTGGGAATCCAAAATTTCAGGATTGCGGGTTTGGATCCGGCCTGGAATCTTTTTAATTTGCTCACGGAGCCGGCCTGATTCAAACATGGTATGATATATTGGCCTGTAGCCTCTAGGAATTAAGTTGAAAACACGAACAATTTTATTTTGAAACACTTTAATTTGAGAGGTATTTTTTCATTTGAAAATGAGCTATTGAAATTTAGAGAGTTGTGTCCCTTTAATAGATTTTTTTTTTATCAGTAGAAGACAGTATGGCGGAATCCGAAAACAATCGCAGTAAAGAAAACATGTGAATCCAAAATTTGAGGATTGCGGGTTTGGATCCGGCCTGGAATCTTTTTAATTTGCTCGCTGAGTCAACTTGATTCCAAAATTGGTGTGATATGTTGGGCTATGGTCTCTAGGAGTAAAGTTGAAAAAGTGTGACACACTGACATTCGTATTCATTTATAGAGATTACGTTCTTTCTTTTTAAAATATTTAAATATTTATATTATTTTATTTTTCATTTTTCTATTTTTTCCTTTTTTTAAATGTTTCGTTACTAGTTCTTTACACCTTAGATTCTTGCTTCATTTTTTTTTAAAGAAAAGTTTTTCAAGTACTTTCTTTACCGTCCCTTATTTAACACGTCTGTCCTCTTTGGAGTTCTATATTTTGCTTCCCGCCATTTCTTCTGCCTTTCACCCTTTTTCCTTTAATATTGTAATTATCAAGAGTTTCTTACCTACAAACCATTCTTTGTTTTATTGTATTCTATTTTCTTTTCGTCTTTTTTTCAAAAAATTGTTACAATTTCGTGAATATTTCTTTAAATTTGTTCAGTAGCTTTTCTTTCTTTCTTTTATTTAATTTTATTCCTAATTCGTGTATATTTTCTATAAAAATACTTTTCTTTTTTTCTTTGTTTCTTTCTTTCACGTTATTAATTTTGTTTTTTTGTTTGTCTTTTCTTCCTATTTATGCATTACTTCTTTTCTTTTTATTTTTCCTTTCTTTCTTTCTTTCTTTCTTTCTAATTATTCTTTTTTCTTTATTCTTTCTAATTCTTTCTAATTATAGCTTTTCTTTATTTCTCTCTTTCATATTACTAATTTTGCTTTGTTTATTTGTCCCTTCTTCCTATTTATGTATTCTTTCTTTTCTTTTCTTTTCTTTTCTTTTCTTTTCTTTTCTTTTCTTTGAATTTACTAATTATACTTATTTTCTTTCGACTCACAAATTTTTCTTTCTTTCTTCTTACTAATTTTTTAGAATTATGTCTTTTTTTCTGTCTCTCTGTCTTTCTTTCTTTCCTTCTTTCTTTCATTCTTTCTTTCTTTCTCCTTACTAATTATTCTTTCTTTCTTTCTTTCTCCGTACTAATTATTCTATCTTTCTTTCTTTCTTTCTTTCTTTCTTTCTTTCTTTCTTTCTAATTCTTTCTAATTATGTCTTTTTTCTGTCTTTCTTTCTTTCATTCTTTCTTTCTTTCTTTCCTTCTTTCTTTCTCCTTACTAATTATTCTTTCTTTCTTTCTTTCTTTCTTTCTTTCTTTCTTACTAATTCTTTCTAATTATGTTTTTTTTCTGTCTGTCTTTCTTTCATTCTTTCTTTCTTTCCTTCTTTCTTTCTTTCTTTCTTTCTTTCTTTCTTTCTTTCTCCTTACTAATTATTCTTTCTTTCTTTCTTTCTTTCTTTTTAATTCTTTCTAATTCTTTCTAATTATGTCTTTTTTTCTGTCTGTCTTTCTTTCATTCTTTCTTTCCTTTTTTCTTTCTTTCTCCTTACTAATTATTCTTTCTTTCTTTTTTCTTTCTTTTTTTTCTTTCTTTCTTTCTTTCTTTCTTTCTTTCTTTCTTTCTCCTTACTAATTATTCTTTCTTTCTTTTTTCTTTCTTTCTTTCTTTCTTTCTTTCTTTCTTTCTTTCTTTCTATTCTATTCTGTCATACACTTCTATGCTCCCCCTCTTTCAGATTTCTATCATTTTCTGTTTCTTTGATTACCTTCTTTCTTTCTTTTCAAAGCATCTGTGCAAATAATATTCTTTTAAAAAAAAGCAATTTAATATC